GGTTGATTTTCATATGGCGTAAACGTTGCCGTCGTTGTAGTATGTAGTCCTCATCATTCCTATTTAGACCACTGCTAACCAGCGCACTTCAGGTTTCCTCTGTATCAATTACGTCCGGTCATCAAATAGGTCTTCTCAACCAAAGTCCTCAAGGTTCAACCGACTGTAGTCCTATACAAGGGAGAAAATTGTAAGATTCAAACTATCCAATAATCTCAATTGTAAATACATAATGCTGATGCCTACCAAAAGCACGAAGTTCTTGCCTAAGGCAGGACCATCTCCATCCACCTCAACTGCGGCCGGTTTACCGAAACCCAAACTCACCAAATCACCTGCCACCCCAACTGCTTCCGTTAAAAATGGATCCCCACCAAAACAAACCCTTGACAAAGACAATAAAGGCAAGGCTAGAGCAGTCGACGAATCCGAGACCGACGACGATGATGGTTCCAATGACAACTCCGACGAAGAGTCTGAAGTCGACACCGAAGCAACCCCAAACATAAAAGCCAAGCGTGGCCGCCCACGTAAAACTATTATCCAAGAGGCACTTAAGCGCATGAAGAAGCACTGATACGTTCAGACAAGGCTTTGCTATTCACTAACATATGGTTACATGTCCCACTACTCATCCATAGTCATACTCTTCTCCTCGACCCATTCTCTTCCACACATTTCACCCACACCATCCAACTATTTTTGATAAAAAATTGCCGTTGAGTTTAATTCATGTACATAGTCCTTGCCTGTCCAATCCATTTAAGCCTGATTTGGTGCGAAAACACCAGTCACTCAACTCAATGGAATTCCTCACACATCTCCTAAAAAAACATGAGGCCAAGATCGAACATCAATCAAAGGTGACTTGATGCTATGGATGACAACATGAGTTTTCCTTGAAGTGAGAGGTTTCCAAGTGTTGTGGTTGGATCCATATCTGATGACCTCTGATGAGCCAGATGGGTGGCCTGAAGCATAAGCGCTAAAAGTCATCTGACTGGTTCTAACCGGTCATGGATGAGTGTTGTCTCACAATGACTGGCCGGAATGGGTCATCATTAGGCTGAACAGCAATGCTAGGCACTTACCTTCATGACCCGACCTGACCGGCGATCCATGAGAGTACATCTACAAGCTCCCATTGCTGCCCGGACAGGGGTAGTCATCAATAGGATTCTGCTGATGTTCACCAGGTTTGATTCATCATTGATGAGATTTCATTAATAGTCGGCCAGAGCCGTTAATTGTCAACAATAAGATCATGTCGCAGGTGTTGAGACCGAACATCTGGACACTGGTTTGTTCTTTTTGTTTTCTCCCATCACTCAATCGCCACCCAAAAAACCTCGGCTCCCAACTACACTGCATTTATCTCGAAGGCTCCTGTATGGATATCGGCCAGCCCAAGGACTTCATCTCCGGCACCTGTTGCTATCTCAGCCAACTCAGCTCATTCGGTGACATAAACGTCAAGGATCAACAGACCCTCAAATGGTTCGAATTAAATGATTGTTGAAGATGTCTAATGAGTAAACTAATTTAAACTTAAATCAACAACAAAACAGGATGGAAGAGTGAGTTTGAGCGATGCAACAACAGTTGCGGAAGGAGACTACTACTAATCAATCGGTCGCGAGAAATATTTGGTTTATCAACAAAGGAATCTCGGCAGTATTGGTAAACGCAAGGCTGATAAAAAGAAATTGGATCATCATACTATCAGTTCTGAGTTGATTATGAGGATCTTGAGGTTAAGGTATGCACTCATTCCATCAGTTCGTGTTGCCCTTGCGAAAAAAAGGAGCTTCTAACCGGGTTTTTTTGTTTTTAATCTTATTAGGCCGACGACAAGTGATTATTACAACAGCGATTCTCGACGATGTTTTCGGTGAATGCGCAACAGAAAAGCCAAGCGAGCAGTGCGTCTCAACGGGCCGCCAAGAACATTAACGGCGCCGGCCTCTCTCGGCGTAACTTATCGAGGAACCATCTTCATCATCATCCTGCCCCTCCACTGCCTCACTCCGCTCTCGCTACTATTGCCTCGTCCTCGTCCACGCCTTCTGTCACTTCTCCTGCTTCCCCGGCCTCGGAACTCCACCATCAGAGTAGTGGTTCTAGGTTGTATGACAGTTGAGGAACGTTTGTCGTCTAGGAAATACATAAACAAAAATTATTTTGATCAATAACCGACTTCGCATCCCTGTTACCGCCTCATTACTCATTGGATGCAGCTCCCCCCTCGTAAATCAGACTGTTAATAAAGCCCTCTTATCTAACCAATCCCAGACTCTTGGAACCCATCTCGGCCTTTTCCAATTTCCTCAAACTACGCATCAAAACGATCAAGTTCGCTGGACTCATAACGCTGAACTGTTCTTATTCTCCCATCACCAAAGAACAACATGACAAATAATCAGAGTCTTTGTCATCGACGAGGAACATATGCTCCTTGGGAAAACTCACCACGATAATCGTTTGGCTGCTCATAACGCTCGGTTCTTCGGCCACGCCTCTTCCAACTCTCCGTCTTCGAAACAACTGGTTTTGAGGCTGTTGTCGCACGCAAGTCGCACCCACGTAAAACGACTGCTGTCTCATCACACGGATGCGACAGCCAAATGACCGTTGTGTGACATGATGGATTTCACACTCAGTATCACACAAATGGGACATAGGGCGCCCCCTCAGTTGCCCAACTGAGTCAATCTCATCTGCGACTATTGGATCATATCCATCCAGCCATCGGTCCCGCTTAGTCCTGCCCTGCATTAGCTTGTTCGACTCTCGACATCAGGCGGACATCTCAACGAACAGTCAGTTTGGTTTGGAGAGCTTGACGGGCTTACTTTTCGACCAAGTTGTACGTCATACGTTGTATCATCGTTAAGGAACCCATATCATTCCCTTATGTCTACCAATGATTAACAGTTGGTCCTATCGCATATTCGTCCTATTCTTCACTTGAGACTCTAAAGCCGACCCTTTGGCCCAATCAAGCAACTCCCGCTATAACGCTGCAGGCTAACCTTTACAAAACTCGTGCTTGACATCAGTGTTGATTCACCCTCTTGTAAGTGCTTCACCAGTTTTTTCAACTGTCAGGAATGGCTAACGGACTTAACGTCATTCTAATTCAATGAAATCGTTGGCAAATGACATCACCAAGACTTACCTAGCGAGTCAAAAATCCATTGGTCCTTCGGCCACCAACAGACTCAGGTCATCCAACGCCCCGAGGACACCAAAGCCGTTCGCCCACCCCTTGTCGGCGTGATCAAATCTTCCGATTGCAAGGTACCAGGGTAACACACCCATTCTTCGACCCGTCAAGCTCTACATGCTAATTCGTGGAGTCTCCATATCTCATCATACAAACTACCCGTCGATACAAGAAAGTTCAACAAGCGCGGCTCGCTAGCGATCAATATCTCTTGCGCTACATTTATTGCTCGCCTGCAAATCCTATTCATCATATTAAAGATCCGTAACTCAATTTGCAAAGTGAATGTTGTGATTACGTTCTATCAAGTTAACAGCTTCACATTTTTGTTTAACTGGTAAGTTCTTGAATTCTTATGTTAATCTCATGTAGAGGATCGACAGTCATAATCTTCTTCTGATGGTAATTACTCACCTCGCTTCGTCTAGCTCAATACTCCTGAAGAATTTTAAGGAGAGGCTCGTCTGATAATCGCAACCACCCTACTCGCTCAATTCCTGTCGACAGTACCATTTTGCTGAATCGTAGACCTTAGTTTCATCTTGAGTGTGATAGTAGAATACTTTTCGCGCCTTGAAGTTATGACGGCAAATCAAAAGGCATATTTGGCCGAGAGGAAAAGAAAAAACCGGTCCAAAAGACATGCAGACAAACGGAAGAGCGAGTTATCTTTAACGGTCGATGATACAGAACGGAGTGACAAACCAAACATAGTCCCTAAATCCTCACCTCAAACGCATCACAGTACAACGCCTCACAGTACGGCCACCGCATTAAACGATTGTGAGAATGGATGCCAAAATCAATCGATCGACAAAATCATTTGGTCTTCAAAACGTTTCATTCCCCTGGAGCTATATCCACACATGTTGGGTGATAACCCTGGCCGACCCCCAACACCCGACGAAATTGAATATGCTAAAAAAGCAGCCGAAAGATTCAAGTATTTCAGCCATGGAAAGGTCGTGATCCACGACAAGGATGACGATTCAAAAGTTATAGCTCTAATCGAGTTTACTCGCTGGGATCAACTAACTGGAGCGGGACTCGAGGATTTACGTCAAGTCACACGATTCCTCCATGCAGCAAAGCAGTTTGTCAATGCCGTTGACTCTGAAACACGTTCATGGGGAGGGAAGATGTTCGCCATTGGATGGCGGAAGGCAATGGTTGCCTTTCAATTGTTGGGACTTTATCGAAACAAAGAAGCTATCGCCAAATCGCCAAGCACCTACGATGCGCTCATGCGCAATTCGAGCAAAATATCTAATATTCTAGGTCGCCTCTTCAGACGTCTTGCAAATGTGGCATTCGCAAACAACCAAGAACTGATGAACGACTATTCAGTTCCATCGATAGGCCATCTTGCCTTCAATATGCCTATTAAAGATGATGACTGTGCACCAAACCTAACGTTCACAACTGATCGATTCTTTAATGCACCTCATCGGGACGAAGAAGATCTATCCGAATTTGCATTTGGCTTATTTGTTCCTGTTAACAAAAACGATTGGTCACCTTCCAATTCAAATGGTCCTTCGGAATTAGAAGGCGGTCAGTTTGTCTTTCCCGATTATCGCTGTGGGATAGACTTTTCAAAACATGACGGTTTTGTTAAAGTTGTTTGGCGCGCGAAGGAGGTGAGGCATTGTACCCTACACTCTAACAACAATCCAGCCCAAGAACAGCTTGGAATGTCGCTTCAGATCAACAAAAAAATTGCAACGGCTTCGCGGGATACTCAAAGTGGCACTATATTCGAAAGGAAAGCGTTCAAGGATAAGCCACGGGATGCATGTTACATTGGCGATCATCAAACTTATGTAGATGGCAAACACTAGCCTGAAAGAGAAGATAATGAAATCGAATTTGGCATAGTTCCTTGATCAGTCTGATATGTAATGCCTTGCATCAAAGTTTTTTTGTTGCGAGCATTTTAAACATTAATATGAGTACATCCTGACATTATTGTTGAAATTAATTTGTTGTTCAAGTAGACATCACTTCATGATTTCAAAATTGAATTATTGTCAATTAAACCTCTCATACTAACATGCAACTCTATTCTTCATCAGAATAACCCAGGTGCCTCTCTCATTCCTTGCCTTAAAGATCCCTTTCAGCTAAGCACCCTATAATCAACAGTAGTGGGAATATGAAGTTGGCCGTTAAGCATGGAGCTTCATGTAGTAAAAATCTTTCTATATAGAGCCTGACGAATATGCACACCATGAGTAATTTATTTTTAGGGTTGTCTTGCCAACTTGCACATGCGATCTGCCGCGTTCTGTGTTTTTAGTGCATAGTGGGGCTCTGCGACACGACAATTAAGGTGATGGCTCCCACCCCGATACATGAGAGTCCTGATTGTGATGATATTGATGTCACCAAGCCATTCAGAGTCGTACCTTTATTGTTGTATTAGGCTAACACCCGTCACTTGGGTAAGTATTTGAAAAGGATTATTATGGTTACGGCCTCGCTTGGCATATCGTTACCTTCAGTCACAATCATTTGCCATGGTGAAGACGATACATCACCTGGTTCAACCAATCATCAGCTTGGTCACAACTAACCACACAATCGACCAGGTATGAAGAAGGTAAGCCTTTTGACCACAGGGATGTTATATAATGAGGTTGTCAGTTCAACATATAATCCCCACACCCTCAATTCCACCCTAATTTCATTTCAGTTGGCTTTCACACACATCACTGACTCGGGTTAAATGCAACACTCAACTCAGGTTAATGCGCACGGTTCTCGACATGGCAGCTTTGTTGTAACAAGGAGTTCTCTCAATCCGGATTGCGAACTGTCCTTTTCGGGTCGATGTACGTTAAATCAGAAGGTAAGTCTCATAAAACGCAAAAGCTATTTATTTTCATCATTAATTAATTGTGTTGCAAGTCTTAGATCCAGTCATGGGACTTTGACCAAGGAACCTATAATATATACAAGGTTCTTCTTTCGACTTGGTCGAGTCCCCACCATCTTGAACTCCCTGTATACATGGAGGACAACAAGATCATTGAAACAATAGTTGCTCCCTGCCTCGATGGTGCTGGCTATAGTTTAACAGTTGGTTCAAGTTACAGTATCCGTGGGCAAATCACTCGGGACGATGCATGTGGAACTGCTTGGGAGTTCAACCCTCTACTTGTGGGTCACTCTCGAACTACAGAAGAACCACTTACACCTGATGGTTTCCAAGTAACCGGTTGCGGGCGAGTAAAGTCGGTGATGAAAGTGATGGATTCAGCTGGAGATCACTTCCAATATCATCATGTATTGATTAACCATCAGCCAACAGTAAGTCTTTTAGTGCGTGATTTGGAACGTGTCATCAAGTTTAATTCCCATCCTAGGATTTGTCTTCTTGTATTCAGGTTCTTTTAATCCTCAAAACAAGTTCACTTAAACTGAGTCCGAGTATTCAGGGATTAGTTGGAGAATTTGTCGAGTTTTGTGGTTTTTTCATCGGAGAAGAAATAGAAACAGGGGTTTTGATTTTAACCGTGAGCAAACTTTTGTATTTTTTATTTGCTGAAGTTAACAACTTGAAATTCCCAGGTTGAATAACCGAATATTGCAAACGGCGAGAATCTTTAACTTCGCCATCTTTGGACTATGGCCGCCCATTCCCTGCGAAATAATTTTTCCTGATGAGTATGATTTGTAATTGCTTGCAATGATGGGTTTTCGCATGAAGATAAATGCTTTCCTTTTTACATGAGGTCAAACAAATGTAATGTTGTCTAGATGAATGTGAAAATTTTGAATAGTCTTATGGAGGAATTCAGATTGACATCCCTTTGGTTATCATTTGATAATGATCTTGTTTGTTGAATGCTCAATCGTGTTCAGGACGGGCAATTTGACTTATCTCCCAGACGTGATGGTTTGACTTTTGGTTGAGTTAATTATCACATCGACGAGTTTGATGTCTTTGTTCGGGTCCAGTCGGGGAATTGCTGAAATAATAAGTGCTGAGGGTTGACGCGTGAGCATAATAGCCCAACTGAAGATAATCCCCTCTGGAAGTATAATAATAACCAGAATGATCAACTCACGGGCGAAGATCCTCAACAGCACAGCTCCAGAATTCGAATCAAATCTTACTAACACTAGCGATTACTCTGTCCCACACAAACTCGGACGATGCGACAACATATGTGATTCTTGCGGTGCACTCCATTGGAAAGATGAGGCAACTCTCCTAGATCGACTGAAGAGGACGATGTCATACTCGACTTGCTGCCAAAAGAATAAAGTTCACCTACCAGATTTTGATGACAATGCACCGAGATATCCATCCCAGTTGAAAAAGATGCTAATCGGTAAAGATGAAGGTAAGAGTAAATATCAAATTTGTTATAAAAAGCTGACAAATCATTGTTTTTAGATGCTCTCAACTTCCAGAAAATGACACGGATGTATAATAACGCGATATCATTCACGTCCCTAGGTGCAAAGGTTGACCACTCAGTTCAAGGACCAATGGGCGTAAATATTTTCAAGATATCAGGTGCCCTCTCGCATCGCATATCGAGTTTAGAACCAACCGACGATTCACCTGGCTTTTCTCAAATTTATGTGGTTGGGAACAATGGAGTTGAAGAGGCTGAATATAGGCTAACATGTGCGTTAGGTCGAAGCCGTGATAACATCAAGAGATCAACGATGAAGCGAGGAACGATCATGATGTTGGTCCACCTTATGGGTCAGATTAACCCGTATGCTAAACGCTTCCGCACCGCACTAGACGTCCTCTCAAAGTCACAAGCGAAAACATTAAGCTTGCAAGGTGTTCCACTGGCAGGAGCGGATCCGAAACGCTACAACTGCCCAACGGCAGACGAGGTTGGAATTGTTGTGCAGGGCGATGGTGACATTATTGGTGAACGCCAAATTGTACTCCACCGAAAAGACCAAAGTTTAGAGGAGATCTCAGACATGCATTCATCGTATTTTCCTCTGCGTTATCCAATTTTCTTTCCATATGGACAGCAGCAATGGGACAACTTATATGCTGCTTGGACAGGCAGAGGTAAGCCTTTATCTTTCATGTTGACAGATTGCATCTGATATCATAACTCCCCAGTCCAAAATAGACGGGTAGGTTCGTTGGAATGGTTTGCCTACCTCTTGTTTCGGCGTCGAAAGCGGTTCTCGCCAATCCTAGCGGGCAGATCACTAACGCAAGAACTACTCGTCGACATGTACGTTTGCGTTGAGCGGCAACGGCTCTCATTTGTCACAAACAATCAAGGCAAACTGAAAGCGGCAAATTATAGACGTTTGATTAACTCACTTGAAAATCAATCGCCGATTAGTGGAAGATGTGTTATCTTGCCCTCTTCATTTATTGGGAGTCCTCGATGTATGCAACAACTATACCATGATGCAATGGTGATATGTAGGAAGTCTGGCCCGCCCTCTCTATTCATTACGATGACAGCAAACCCTAAATGGAAGGAAATCCTTGACGAAATCCCAGCTGGAGATAAAGCATTCGATCATCCAACGGTTGTCGCACGAGTCTTCTATCTCAAAGTGAAAGAATTGATACATCAACTCGTCAAGATGGAAAGATTTGGGAAAGTTCTGGCTTATGTATATACCATCAAATTTCAGAAGAGGGGTTTACCACATCTACACCTGATGCTTACGCTTGCCGAGGAGGACCGTCCAGTTACACCTGAAGAAATTGACAAGATTGTTTTGGCAGAACTCCCAGACATCAACAAATCACCTAAACTTCACAGTCTCGTCTCGGAGTTCATGCTCCACGGGCCTTGCAAAGGCCGTCCCTGCTGGAATGGGAAAACGTGCAAGCTTGGTTTTCCAAAACCATTTGCCGAATGGACCGTAAATGTTGACGGTGCCTACCCCGTCTACAAACGTCGGGATGATGGGGCACGAGTTAAGAAAAACGCCTCAATATTTGACAACGGATCAATCGTTCCGTACAACCCATACCTCACACTCAACTTTGAGTGTCACATCAACGTCGAGGTTCCAGTTAACACAACAGCTATCAAATATCTTTATAAATATATTACTAAGGGTCACGATCGGATGGCATTGGCCGTTGACTCTCAAGATGAAGTTCAGTCATTTGTGGATGGGCGATACATAAGTGCAGTTGAAGGCAAGTTTTTTTGATACTTATTGAGGAAACTTTAGCTGAATTTGATTTATAGCTGCCTGGCGTTTGTTCAAGTATCCCCTTTCGGATAGGTTTCCACCGGTGGCACGGCTGTCAGTTCATGACGTTGATGAACAGCTGGTTTATTCGAAAGTGAGGATAATCTGGCCGGCCAAATTAACAGTGGAAAGGCGAACAAAACCACGCTGACAGGCCTCTTTCAGTTGAATGAGACGGATGCTGTGGGAGCTGATGGGGTTCATGCTCGAGATTTACTCTATGAAGACATTCCAGCCTATTTCTGCTGGAATAAATCGGACAAAGTTTGGACGCCTAGGAAGAAAAAGAGTTCAACTGTTGGAAGAGTCTTTTCGATTTCTTATCTTTCAGGGGAGAAGTTTTGCCTATGTGTTCTTCTGCTGCATCGGAAAGGTTATGTCTCGTTTAATGATCTGAAAACTATTGACGGTGAAGTTTTTGGAACTTACCAAGACGCATGTAATGCCTTGGGTTTACTCGTCAACAATTATCTGTACAATGAAGCCTTACTCGAAGCGTCAATCGTTCGCTCTGGATTTCAACTGACACAGATGTTTGCAATGATTTGTATGCATTCACCACCTTCAGATCCATTAATCTTGTTCAAAGCCCATTATCTCAGCTTTACCGACGACTGTAGCCGGGTTGACATGAAGAAGCAACATAGCAGACAGTTGAACAATCAAGAGCGGAAAGTTTTGGCCATCATCAGGCTTGAAGGATTGCTTGAAGGGATGGGTGGCTCCCTCGACACTTGTGGCTTGACGATAACAAGAAAACAGCGGCGAATGCTTAAGTCACTTCAAGCTGAACAAGACGAAGTTGAAGATCCCATCACCATATCTCAAAGACTTTCGTCAAACCGCGGGAAATTTAACAAAGCCCAAAAGTTATTCTTTCAACGAGTTAAAAACTCTATGGACGGAACTCGAGGGAAGATGTTCTATCTCGATGGACCAGGTGGAACAGGAAAAACCTTTTTGCTTAATGCCATCATAGACTGGGCAGACCTCGATGGGATTCCTTCAATTATTTGTGCTTTGTCGGGTGTAGCTGCCCTTTTATTGACAAGGGGCAAACAGCTCATTCAACTTTCAAGATACCGATTGACGTTGCAGCTGGATCGGAATGTCCGTTGGAAGAAGACACGATGATTGGCCAAAAGTTAATACGTGCAAGGTTGATTGTTTGGGATGAGATTGTTACCATTCATAAAAACTCGATCGATGCGGTTAACAAGTCATTGAAAAGGTTGTGTAATTCTCAGGCCGATTTTGGTGGAAAAGTTGTTATATTCTCCGGTGACTTCCGTCAAATACTCCCTGTAGTAAAGTATAATGAATATCCTCCTGCTTATGCTTCGACAATCAGGTCTTCAAGACTATGGCAATCCGTTAGACAGTTCCAGCTTTCAGAAAACATGCGGCTAGCTAAGGCGATCTCTGTATCATCAAATGACAAAAATTTATCATTTGCTAAAGCATTACTCTTACTTGGCGAAGGAAAAAAACAGAAATCTGATTTCGGCATTGTCAAGCTCCATCATATCAATACCAAGGCCTGCAACTCGAAGGACGAAATGTGTCACGTATTAACTGAATTTGTTTACGGAGATTTGAGGAAGCGTTCCGAATTAAGTCAACTCGACGACGTTGCCTACCTAAACGAACGTTGGATTTTGGCGCCGTTAAACCGAGATGTAAAAAGGCTCAATGATGAGATATTAGACTTGTTGCCAAGTCAAGCGACGTATTTAAGATCAATTGACACACCTGATCCAGATGGCGTGGGGAGTTTGCCAGAAGAATGTCTCAACAAGCTAAGCATTGGAGGATTCCCGGACCATGAACTGAGGATCAAGATTGGCATGCCCCTTGTCGTCATCAGAAATATGAATATAAAAAACGGGGTTTGTAACGGCTCCCGTATTGTTGTTGTCGACTTCGGAGTGGGGTTCATTGCCGGCAAATTAATGTCGGGTCCATTTGCCGGTAATGAAATAACTTTACCACGGGTAAAACTTCACAATAAGTCGAGTAGTCGGTCGGGCCTGTCATTTTTCCGTTATCAATTTCCCGTGGCTCCTGCTTACGCTATGTCAGTCAATAAGAGCCAAGGACAAACACTTGGTAGAGTAGGTGTTTATCTGGAGACGGATGTTTTTTCTCATGGCCAACTTTATGTCGCTCTCTCAAGGGTCTCGGATGTGACGAATCTACTTGTGGTGAGGCCAAGGATTAGGGAAGGAATTGTTAATGTTGTGCATAGGAAAATATTCAAGATTTGTAAGATAAGTGAGTTGATTGGGTTTTGACTATGTTTATTACAGGAAAAACTGATACTTGAGTTGGGGGAAATAGATGTTCAAACGCAAGAAGGAGATAACTAAGGA